TACCCGTCTTGGAAAGCAAGGTGATCAACAAAATCGGCCTATGAGAATCACTTTTGTGGACGAAGCCAGTCCAAGACTTATCATGTCTCGCCTAAGTAGGCTGAAAGGTTTGAAGATCCATCTTCGTCCCGACTTGGACCCAGTAGACAGGGAGCGGCTCAAGTCTGCCATCATTGAGTTGAAAAGACGCACTAGTGAGGGGGTAACAAATCTTCGTATCGTAAATTTTCGGGTGGTTTCCAACAATCCGCGAATCAGGATAAACAGGCTGCTCACACTTCAAGCACGCCCGGTGGCTCCTGCTGCGGCCTGCGAGTAGCCTTCACAAACGTTTGCAGTATTATGAATAAGCGCGATGAGCTTTGTTGTTTCGTTGCGTCTGAGCGGCCAGACGTAGTGGGACTCGCAGAGACATGGCTGCATGCAGAGTTATACACCCAAGAACTCGTGTTTCCGATGCGATAGACTAAAGAATGCCCACGGTGGTGTCTTACTTTACATCCGGTCTTCCCTGCGTGGGAGACTTGTTAGCACCTACCGAAGTGACGATGGCCTGTGTGAGCTACTGTGGTGCTCCATCCGCCTCAGGCGCGGAGAACTGCTTGTGGGCGCAGTTTATCGCAGTCCCCTGAGTCGTTGTTCGGATTGGCTGCCCCATCTTCGGACCCACATGAGTCGTCCACATTTTCTGCTTATGGGCGATTTTAACTGTCCTCGAATACGATGGCCTGATGTGCATTTGATGCCTGGACATAGTGAGGTTGAAGCAAAGTTCGTGGATTTGATACTTGAAACTGGTGCATCGCAACACATATGCCAGCCAACACGCATATCAACACGTTCAACCTCGTCCTGTCTCGACCTGATGTTAACGAGCTACGAACAACGAGTGCGTGACGTTAGGATCCTGGAGCCCCTGGCTACGAGCGACCACTCAGTACTGATAGCTGATATGGAATTATCTTTGCCGTATTCACATCCGCTGCAACCAGCTCCCAACTACTGGAAAACGGACTTCGATGGTCTTGCTCGAGCCGCGAGCCAACTGGATTGGTCTCTGTCACAAACTGCATCTGTGGAAGATTGTTGGATATTTATAAAAGAGAGATTAACATCATTGTGTTCCAAATTTGTGCCATTGAAATGTCGAAAGGTTGGACCGATTAAGCCTCATTGGTTTGACAAGGAGTATAGAAACCTGGCTCGGAGGCGGCGCAGACTGTGGGACAAATTCCTTCTCTCGGGCTCTGCCAATGATTACGAAGGGTATAAATGTCAGCGGAATCTCTGCAACAGTGCAAAAAAGAATAAACGCCGACATTTTGAAGAGCAGCTCGCATTAGCCGCGAAGACCGCCCCCAAGAGAATCTTTGCATACGTGAAGCGACGCCTGAAGCCGGCGGGTGATGTGCCAGTGCTGGATGGCACGGATGGACAGCCCCTAACCTCCAGCTCTGAGCGTGCGTCCGCGTTGGCGGCGCACTTCCCTTCTGTATTTGCGAATAACCAGGTGTCTGTTCCGAGTTCGACGTGTACCGCTTTTACCGAACTCGATAGTCTGTATTGTGGCGTCGAAGAGGTAGCTCAACTACTCGCCAACCTTGACGGCACCAAACCTGCCGGACCTGATGGGCTTCACCCACTGGTTCTCAAGTCACTTTCAAACATCCTCTCTCCTGTCGTGACTGACCTTTTCAACAGGTCGCTCTCCGAAGGTTTGTTGCCGGTTGACTGGAAATGTGCGGTGGTGAAGCCTATTCCGAAAGGCGGCGACCCTAGTAAATTAGACAATTACAGGCCAATTTGTCTGACACCTATATTGGCAAAGGTTGCTGAGAAAATCGTGAAGAAAAGATTGCTGCAGTTGCTACAGTCAAACGAGGTCCTGACGCCCGCACAGCACGGTTTTATGCAAGGTCGCTCATGCATTACTAACCTGCTTGTGACGAGGCATGAGTGGTTGAAGGCAGTAAACAAGGGGAAGTCCGTCGACGTGATATTCATCGATTTCAGTAAAGCGTTCGACAAGGTCAGTCATGAGGTTCTCCTTCACAAACTCAGCATGTGTGGCGTCGGTGGCTCACTGCACCGGTGGATCCGCGACTTTCTTTTTGGACGAAAGTGGAGGGTACAGGTCGACGACCATCTAACTGACTGGTACCCCTCTACAAGTGGCGTGCCTCAAGGCACTGTGCTGGGCCCCACTCTGTTCCTGATCCACATCAACGATCTACCGCAGCTTCTCCGGTCGCCGTGTGCCTTGTTTGCGGACGACATGAAGATTTGGAGAGAAATCGACGCTCCTGATGACTGTGGCCTACTTCAGCAAGATCTCAACCGCTTATCCACATGGTCTGCAGAAGTTCTTCTCCCGGTCAACCCAGCCAAGTCGGTATTTATGAGCCTGGGGAAGGGTGCAGACGGCCGAACCTACACCCTTGACGGCCAAACGCTATATCCCACACCCTCCGTGAAGGACCTAGGTGTACTCTCACGCTTCGATTTGAAGTCCGTGGACAACACCAACAGGCTATATCGGAACGGACTGCGCATGCTTTGGGCGCTCAAACGTAGCTTCTGCACATGGTCTGAAGAGGTTGCCAATCGCCTGTTCTCTTCTATCATTAGACCAATGCTAGAGTACGGTTCGCCCGCCTACTTTCCGGTTACCCGAGGCGAGGCACAAAAGATCGAACGGGTCCAACACGTTGCTACCAGGCTCATCCCGAGTTTACGTGGCTTTGGGTATGAAGACCGGTGCGAGAAACTAGGACTCTACACCTTGTCCTACCGTCGGGTGCGAGTCGACCTCATTATGACCTACCGAATTCTACATCTCGGTGAGTTCCCCATGTTAAGGCCAATGCTGCACTTACGAGGGCCATGCAGCACACGCGGACACAGATACAAACTTGTTGTGCCGGATATGAAACGTGTTCCCCACCCACTGTGCTTCGAACGGAGAGTGGTAAACATTTGGAATAGTTTGCCCGAACATGTGACTGAGGCAACATCTGTGCAACAGTTCAAAACGTTGTTAGATTTGCATTTTGCCTCTATTCGATTCAGAGAACGACTGCACACTTATGATGACATCACATTTGTGAATCCTGAAATATCGTAAGTCGAATATTTTAAATATTACATGAGAACGACAATGATATTCAAGGTTGACAACTTTTATAACGTTTTTCGCCATATCTCGAAAGAGTTGTACAGAATCCATTTCTACTTGCTCTATGATACAGTATTCAGTATTCATCAAACAAATTGCAACTTCTATGAACAGCCTTGTAGTGTGTTCCTGAGCTCACTTTTTATCGCTGAATGCATTAGAATGCAACGACGTTCTTTCTTCCCCACACAAAGACCGTCGTTATCAACAACTTCTCACGGAATTCCCTGAACTTCACATAGATGACGTGAAGTTGCACTCCACCATGTCATTGAATTATCTAGTTGTCATGCCCAGCCGTGATCTCTCTCGGTCACTCCATGTGAATGGATTTTTCACAACAGTGAGAAGACTTTCTTTATGCGCTGCTCGTTTGCGATTCTCCTCATCCCCTCGTTGTATAATACGGCAATTTCCCAACGCTTGTATCTTACCCCACTGGACTTATTGCTCCTCTGTGGCATTTCCTGGTTTCTCAAAGAAGCCTTTCGTAATGCTATATAGGTCATTGACGCAGTGGCATTCAAAGCTAACCTTTGTGGATATTTTTGTGTCTGTTCACACCGGTTCATGCAAAAGGCTTGCTTCAGAAATGCTCACCGATGCAAGTCCCTCTCTTCATATTGCACTGTTTTACTATATATCAACTACACCCAGACAAAAGTATGGATTCCTTTATGCTGGTACAATTGCTTACCACTCATCCTTTATTCCATATTTGGGGTTTTTTGTGCGACCAGACCTCAGTTTTATCGAAGCTTACAAGCAAGTTTGTGTTGTAACCATGTTGCTATCTATGCCACCTACTAACCTGCTTGTGTATTCACTATTTTAAGTTATGTTTCTTTTTACAACACGATAGCTTGTGTGTAACAACTGAGTATATCCACCCCTCTGAGCTCTTCCTTGAATTGAACTGTGAATGTAAATGACGTCAGTTAACTTTCCCTCATCCAGCGCCGACAATCATTCGTATCTCGTCATGAGCAAGTTGATGATGCATGAGCCACCTTTCACGTAACCATGCTGTGCGGACGTCAAGAGCCTTTTTCTACCTAAGAGGCTCCAAAGACCCTTTTTCACGATCTTCTCAAGTGTCTTGGCCAAGATAACAACTAAACAGATCGACCAGTAGTTGCCAACTTTGCTTGGCTTAACGCCTTTCAGCATCGGTGTCGGCCGGTGGCCGAGTGGTCTGCACGTTTGCTTTGTAACCATAAGGTCGCCGGTTCGAATCCGCGTAGGGGTGGGCGTCCTCGCGGTATACTCAGCCCGCGCGCGACTGGTGGTGGTCGCGCGGCAGCAAAGCGCCGTTACGGCGTTCAGCTGCCACATTATTATTATTATTATTATTTTTATTTTATTATTATTATTATTATTATTATTTCAGTATTGGTTTTAGGACTGCTCATTTTCGATCGCTCGGTAATGAACCTGTGGCCATCGACCTGTTGAACAACTCTGTCACGGAAGACCGATAATGACTTGAGGATCAGCTGATGCATTCCATCAGGCCCGGCGGGTTTGCTTTTTCGGTTTAATGCACTGATATGTTGCTGCAATGGTGATAATGACTCTGCTTCCTGTCTGACCCTACTTCGGTTGGTCTCAACTGCTAACCAGAGTGCATGCTTTTGAATGACATTCTAAAATTAGGACCATCTACTTCCTCTTTAGCCTCATACTTCCAGCTTCCTGACGAATGTCCTCGTTTCGCATCGACAACCACGTGCGATGTTCTGGTTGCTGCCCATTTTGAGTCCGATTTTCTGTCATGTTGCGATAAGTTTGCATACTATCATCGATTCTTTTTCTATTTTCCCTAGCTGCACTATATATTTTCGGAGGCAAATTTACGCGGTATACCTCGGTTTTATGGAAATTCTTGCGTGTGCACAAGCGCACGTTCCGTAAATAATTCGCGAAACTTCCCTTGGATCACTGTGCGATGAGTGCTCAGCCACGGACAGTAAGCTTCCCAGCTTTTATTATTCAGTAGACTCCGAACTATATTCTCAAATATACTCTGTCTGGTCACACGAAATCCGTATCGTCTGTCAAGTTTAGCGAAAATGGTCAATGGCTCGCTAGTTCTTGTAACAATCAATTCGCGCATACTTACCCTTCCCCAGCTGCCGATAAGCTTGTCAAAATATGGAATGCATATGATGGAAAGTTTGAAAAAACAATCGCTGGACATAAGTTGGTCCGTCACTTCGATCCGTGATGATTTAGCTCAAATTCCAGGGAATATCGGATGTCTCCTGGTCTTACGATTCAAGATTTTTATGCAGTTCATCAGACGATAAAACACTGAAACTCTGGGATCTCGTCACGGGCAAGTGCTTGAAAACGTTGAAAGGCCACAGCAATTACGTATTCTGTTGCAACTTTAACCCACAATCCAACTTAATTGTCTCCGGTTCAGTAACCCGCATACATTTACTCTTTATTTCCGTCTAGTTTGACGAAAGCGTTAAATTGTGGGATGTCAAGACGGGCCGTTGCATCCGCACTCTTCCCGCCCATTCAGACCCCGTCACAGCCGTAACCATCGATCCTAGCTCGTTTGATCCACATTTATTCTCAGGTTCATTTTAATCGGGATGGAGCATTGATAGCTTCCAGCAGCTACGATGGTCTGTGGTACGTCACTGCTCTTTTCGGTTCATCTTGAATTTCAGCCGTATTTGGGACACCGGCTCCGGGCAATGCCTGAAGACTCTAATAGGTATGGATATTTTCTGCTGAGACGATGCCTCAGACAACGATAACCCCCCTGTCTCCTTCGTCAAGTTCTCTCCCAATGGAAAATACATTCTTGCTGCCACTTTAGACAGGTGAGACATATTACTTGGCGCGCTAACGACATTAAGCTGTCTCAAATTATGGGATTACACAAAGGGTAGGTGTCTCAAAGTATACACTGGGCATAAAAATGAAAAATATTGCATATTTGCCAATTTCTCTGTTACTGGCGGCAAGGTACTCTGTTTATCATTATTAAATATCCCTGGTTACCACAGTGGATAGTTTCTGGTTCCGAAGACAATATGGTTTATCTATGGAATTTACAGACAAAAGAGGTGGTTCAGAAGTTGGAGGGTCATTCCGGTAGGTTCTACATTTGACGCTTACTGTGGTTTTAGATGTGGTTTTGTGCACAGCTTGCCACCCTCAGATTAATATGATTGCTTCCGCCTCGTTGGAGAATGACAAAACCATCAAATTGTGGGCTAGCGATACTTAACAATTTGTACACAATTTTTAACGCAGTATTTTTGTTATTTCTCGTATGATGACATAAATGACCGTACCTTTTACTCCGCTAGCTCGCTTTCTTACTCCGAAAATGTGCACTAACGCCTTGCTCTCAGCTACGATGATCAGTCTGTTGCACTCGCAACTCAATCATACGAGGCGTGAGAATGCAAAATAAATAACAACATATTCTAGTTGCTCTGCTAAGAACGCCAAGTTGGTTCTGCACATGCGGAGCCTAGGAGTTTCCTTCATGAAGTTGCCTAAATTTTACGTCGTTTTACTGTTCTATTCGATTACTTCGCTTGGAACGTAGCGTTTTTATTTACGTCATGTGAGTCGGGTGGTGGCCGAGTGGTTTGCGCGCCTGGTATACAACCATGAGGTCTCAGGTTCGAATCCGCGTAGGGATGGACCTCCTCGCGGTATATTTAGCTCGCGTGCAACTGGTAGTGGTCACGCGATAGCGAAGCGCCGTTACGGCGTACAGCTAGCACATTCTTTACTTATTTACGTCATCTGATGTGAGTGTTGGTTGACACATTGATAACAACCGCGGTAAGATGTCACTTTTATTCGACTGCGGTTATTCTTCGGTGCGCGAAAGACGGCTGCCTCGAAGCCATCAGTAGACATGTGCGCGAGTACGGCTAAATACCGTACTGATAAACATTGAGTGTGATGGGCTTGGTTTTGGATATCAACCTGGCCAGAGTTGAAGGGTTTCCACGAAGCTCGCAACTCCAGATACAGCTCCAGTGGCAGAGAATGACTACGAGGTCAACTGAGACTACAACTGAGATTGCGTGTCTCAATGTACTCCCAACCTTGAGTTTGACGAAGTGTTTCTTGCTACTCTAAAGGTCACCACTTTGAAGCACTTAGTAAGATATTCTTCCTTAGCAACAGCAGTACATTAGCCATTTGAATTGATCCTTAGCCGCTGCACAACCACAATAACCTAAGGAACGAAGAATAATAATAAGAACCTAGTGTAAAACCTAAACGCCGTAACCAGATATTCAGCGTAGTAGCGCCTACATCTTGCCAAAAACATACAATCACAAATAGCTGGATATCGTGCGGCATCGGCGAGACAGCTTCCTTGCAGTTTCCACCGCCTCACGTTATGATCATCACCATCAACAGCATTACACCAGGCATTTAGATGGATGCTTCGCTACCGCACAGCCACGTTGACGTAAGCAACAAAGAATAATAAGAGAACAATCAGAGATCTGGCTTAAAACTTTAGAACCCTAAGCGAACATTCAGTATCTAGGCGCCTACACCTTGTTAACAACGTACCGTTACAAATAACTGGCTGTCGTGCAAATATACGGTAACATCAGAGAGACAGCTTCCTTTGGGCTTTTACCGCCCGTCATAATCAGCTATTACTCCGCAGATAGCAGACGCACCACTGGTGCCGACTGCGAGTGATGTCCTGTAAAGCCTCGAGCCAATCACAAGGCAAGTCAAGTGGACTCCAGCCTGAAAGGCGAAACGGACCGACGGCACCGAGTTTGGTCGTCAGTGACCTTGGCCCCGCGTCGAACCTTGCACCACCTTACATAGAACAAGCAAAACAATGCCTTCCTCGCTAAGTGGTGACCGGGCATACATAGTACGTACCCGAACCGACGCAACCTACTCAGTGCCATGTGTTGTTCTTAAGAGCTAACCTGATTATCACTGTCTAGTAATCGCCTACACACATCATCGCTGCGGACACGCTGGTGCTTCCGACACCAGCGGTGTTTCCCATACAGCTATGAACAAGATTTGAATGCGCCTCACATCTTCAGACCAATAGCGATAAGTCTCACTCTCATAGGGTATCACGGCCCTCACCGTGGCCTTGTAAACGCGCATTCAGACCGAGGGAAACCCACTACTGTCGCCACACATGTTGCAAATTCAAGAAAGCAGTCCTAGCTTTCGCAATACCTGAACTGACTTCAGTAGTTATGCGCCCATCGTTGCTGATGCAGCTGGCAAGTGAATTTATCAGATAAATCTAGTTCTTCGTAATCAAAGACTAACTAACAGCCCTCCGGAAATCAAGAAAACTGGACCGCGATCACGAAGTCCTTGCATGTGTATAGAGTATATACACTATTTGCACCATCCGCTTCACTGGTTCATCCTTGTTATTTGTATTCTGTCACTGGCTCCATTTCCATTGGTTTACGCTTGCTTGTAACGTTCATTCTGTCTACCTCGACTTTCCTGGTGGATTGTGCGATTGGCTCAGTTTAGCCCTCCTCTATCAGTCCGGTATCACAAATCTTGACTCAAGTGCGCACCAATACGCTTCTCACTGGTACGCACTTCTTCGTCTGTGCTTTTGGAACCTTCTGCCGCCTGATTCGTCCGTAGCACATTCAGTGGATGTTTGTTGACTGTACTTGCGGATCTCGACACAGGCGTGCGCCAACCATTTGCTGTTCAGCTGACCAATCTGCTTCCGATGGCGTGCTCGATTTCTATCGGGCTGGATTGCACCTGTCTGGTACTCCGCGAGATGTCCGGTGGCATTTGATTGGCCATCGGCTTACGGACAGCACTGCATTTCCAGCCCCCTTCACATCCTTTCCTTTTTCGCTTTTTAGAATAACGTTACACTGTGTTCCTTACTGCCTTCCACTGTGTGTGCGTTTAATGTCTTGTGCTTGAATGGCAGGACTCCTCTCCGGTTGTTGTTGGTGATCCTCTGTTTGTGGTGTCCACTCATGACGCGCTCTTCTCAGTTCCACCCGATTCCGTGGAGTGATGTTGCTCCCAACCTTGACTTCATAGCTTCTGTCTCCCTTCCGGCTCTCGATCACTCCTTTTCGCCAGCATCCTTCGGATCCCGCTACTGGTTACACTCATACATCTTCTCCCGTAGCTGGTAGTGAGAGGCTTTTCGATCCGCGATCATAGTACTTCTTTTGCTTTAGCATTCTAGTCCGTAGTCGGTCGTGGAGAACATCGGTCGGCGCTATCTCGGGCTGCAGTAGAGCTGTAGCGGTCGATATTAGCGTTCTTGTTCGGCGACTGAACAGGTTGTCCGGGAGTTGCGCCGATATCAGTAGTTGGCGTATTGCTTCCATCTAGTAGCATTATGTAGGGATCCTCCTGGGTCTTCTTGGCTTTTGTAAGCACTTTCTTTGTCTCCTTCACTGCGGACTCAGCCTTTCCGTTTTATTGGCTATGGTATGGGTTGGTTAGCCAATGATGAAAATCCCACTTCTTGCTGAAAGCATGAAACTGCACTATTAAATTGCGGACCGTTGTCGGAAATCACCACCTCAGGTATTCCATGCCGAGCGAATTGGCATCGCAACATGTTCACCACGGCCTGCGTACTAGTCGTAAGAGCACCGATCTCAAAGTAATCACTAAAATAGTCTACCACAATCAAGTAGTTACTTCCGTCATGAGCAAAATTGTCCAGTGCAACCATCTGCCAGGACCTGTCAGGCACGTCAAGAAGCATCATCGGTTCTTTTGGCTAGAGTACGTCATGTGTTCTGCATGCTACACAATTGGAGAGGTAGTCACATATTTGGCTAGCCATTCCGGGACGGAATAACAGCTCTCTAGCTCTTGCCACGCAGTTGTTGGTTCTTAAATGTGCACAGTGTATCAGCTCCAGCATTGAACGTTGTAGTACCTTTGGAACTACTATCCTGTTGTTTTTAAATACTAATCCAGCTTGGGTAATGAGTTCGTCTCGAAAATAGAAGAATGGGATCAGCTCCTTAGGCAGTTTTCTCTTGGCTTCTGGCCATCCTTTTATTATCGTGTGCTTCAGTAGACTGCACACTTCGTCATCCTCCCTGCACCGTTGGAGCTGCTACAAGCGTTCCTCGGTGACGACGTTCAACTCTGTTACTTGGACAAAGTTTGGGTCTTCTTCCTTTCCTGGCGTGTCTGACAGGTGCGCCCTTGACAGCATGTCCGCAACGTGCATCTGGGATCCTGACCAGTAGACAATCTCTAAGTCATACTTCCGCAGACGAATACGCATCCTTTGCAGACAGCGTGGAACAACATGATCGATACCAGGGGCTTGTGATCGTTAAAGGCTGTGGATTTGCGGTCAAACGTATAGTCATTGAAACGCTCCACGGTGTAAAACAATGCAAGCATTTCTTTTTCTATTCGCGCGTAACGACGCTCGGTCTCTGTCAGCGTCCGGCTCCGAAAGTCGACAGGCTTACCGTTCTGTATACCTGCGGTTCCGCTACCATACTGACTGCTGTCACACTGGATCTCGAGTGTGAGTGCTGGGTCATAGTAAGCGAGAACGGGGGCGCTTGTGATCAACTCCTTTATTTTCTGAAATGCTTTCTCCTGGTCCGCGTTCCAGTGCCACTTCTCTCCCTTATGCGTCAGTTTCCGAATCGGTACCAATGATACCGAATCGGTTGATCTGGGCAAGAAACGACCTAGGTAATCGACCATCCCATTCAGCCTGCTAACGGCTTTTACATCAGTAGGAGGAGGCATCTCCTTTATGATCCTGACTTTCTCTGGGTCTAATTTCAGTCCTTCGGAGCTTAGCGCATCTCCAGGGAACTCCACTTCCGTCCTACGCAACGCGATCTTTCGTTTTATCTTGATGTTCCTTTTAAAACAGCGCTGCAAAAGTCGATCGAGGTTTTGGTCGTGTTCCTCTCTCGTAACGCCAATAACCGAAACGTCGTCTACTACACAGAACGTTCTTAGTAAATCGTTTAAATCCTGCATCAGTCGTTTCTGGAATATCTCTTTAGATACCTTCAGCCTAAACGGTAAACGAAGCCAGCGGAAACGCCCGAAAGATGTCCCAAACATAGTCAGGTAGATTGACTCTTCGTCAAGTAATACGTGCCAAAACGCCGAAGCAAGGTCGACTTTGGTGAATATTCTAGCTCTGGATAGCACCGAAAGTACGTCATCTATCATCGGTAGCGTATAATGCTCCCTCCTGAGTGCGGCGTTAAGTGGTTTTAGATCAATGCACACACTTAGTTCTCCAGATTTCTTAGTGTTAAACGCCACCTGGCTAACCCAGTCGGTCGGCTCCTG